AAAGGCGGACAAACTCATCACACACTCCTGCTCTCAGGTAGTTCCTGCCGAGACTGTGGTTTGTAGGATGGAGAATGAATACAGACACACAGACTCCTTCACAGACTTTCACATGTGTATGACCACTTACTCCTCTGTAAACATTATGTCAGTAAATATCCAGTGAAGATGCTCGTTTGTGTACGTACGAGCACGTATGACGAGCACGCAAGCGAGAGTGAGCAACAGGTTACTGGTGCAGTTCGCCTAACGGCCATGCGGTATCGCTACAAACGCAGTATTTTTTGAAAGTTACATATAGCCCCTTTAACTTCAAACTAGGATGATGAAAAACACCCAAATTATGACTTTATTTATGATAAATTAATAATTACAGCCTCTAAAAACATTTTTTGTTTTCCCTTTGTATTCAAATATGAATGCATTTTATATCTTATAGTATTGAAGCAGATTTCAGTCATCAGGGATTTGAAGACGTCATTCTGGACTTTTAAACTTTGACAAATTTTAAGTAACATTCACATGGTAGTTTTCCCTCGATTAAACTCACCTCCTCCTCCAGCACATCACAGGCCAGATGGATGAGCGACACATCAGCCTGATGCGGTTTAGCCTTCAGTTTTCTTGCTCTGAGGCTCCACAGCTTCACGGTAGAGCTGTCGAACCCGGCGCTCAGCAGCCGGCTGTCAGCTGACACCTCGGCTGTGTTCAACATCTGCTCCGTGTGGTGGAAAGCGTAAAAACACACGGTGGTGAGTGTGGGGGGGCCCTCGCGGACTTTCTTAATGCAATCCTGCAGAACCTCAAGGGCCGCTTCACTCTGTGAGACCCCCGCTGGGACCTCCACCCCTTCCCTGGCCTCTGCTCCGTCGACTCCCGCCCAGGATGAGCTGGAGTTGGTGGCCGCAGCTGCCCCGCCTGCAGCTCCGTAAAGCTGGTAGTCTGTACGCTTTGAGGCCGTGACCTCCACCTGCAGGTGTGTGCTTATTGCCCTGCAGAGTGCGCTGTTGTCCTCGCTCTGCAGGTAACGCAGCAGGTAGCTGTATGCCGACTCCGTCAAATGAACAATATACTTGTGCTCGAGGAAAGCGCTCAGCCTGGGGTTTGCTGCTATGTCCTGAGTGGTGAGCACGTGGCGGAGCTGCTCTATGATGGTGCACTGCTCACTGTCCTGGAGAAACGCACCGTGGAAACGACTGTAAAAGCCATCAACTGCCCCCTTCAGGCCGCACTGCACCATGTCCAGGTGGAGGTAGACGAAGAGTGGGTAGAGGATGCTGCTCACCTCCTTTGCCCATAGTATGTCGGTTTCTGATTTAGGAAAGATAAAAAGGCATAAAAAGGATTTTGTAATATTGAACAAAGTCACATAGCATTTAAAAACAAACTAGAAATTATTTGGGAGATACTTTGTTTCAAAATTACTTGAAAAATTAAACTTTAAGCTGCTAAGATTTGGTATAACAGCAAGACATATAAGGTATGTAGGACCAGTGCTGGAGGAATGTGATACCTGACAGAAAGGTGCGCAGCCTGCAGTACTGGCTCTCATACTGATGTGGGTCGGACTGGCATGGTGCAGCAGACACGATGTTGGCACACCCCGACTCTGTCTGCACTGCTCACAGATGAAGAGGGGGGGACAGAGAATATATGTAGACGAGACAGTTGAACCAACATCTTATAATGTGCAGAATAGACCATTTTAAAAGGGGTTAATATCTTACAATAAATAGCGTGTTATTATTCTACAATTCTACAATTCACTTAGCAGACGCTTTTATCCAAAGCGACGTACATCAGAGAGTAAGTACACAAGCAAGGATCTAGAAAAAAGGGAACAATGTCAGTAAGAGCAAACGATCAGCTTTGAGTCTGATTGGACACACAGGTGCTGACAGGAAGTGACCAGAGGCAAAGCACAACATTGACGGCAGTTCTTGAGAGCTCTAATCAGTATAGAAACCATCTTATAAGTCGTCGTTATCAAACAAAAACCATCGTCACAACTATCATCATCATCAATAATATGGAGACCATCATCATTAAGTTAGTAGGTATTCATGAAAGAGCTAGGTCTTTAGCTTTTTCTAAAGACCCTGATTATTATTTTAAGAATACCTAAAAGTACCAGAAGCATTTTAATTAAGCTGGTTGCTTGAAGCAACAAAAACCTGAAGGGTAGTTTAGAGATCATTACATGTAGGGAAGAAGAAGAAGTGGTTGTTCCTTGTTATGTTATTATAAAACACTTCCTCTATGCCCTGTGTTCACCTGTGAGACTTGCAGCCATCTCCTCTGCGGTCTGGAAGAGTTTGGCTCCTTTTAGGGAGCCATCAGTGTCCACATACTGCCTCCTCTTCAGGTACTGAGCCACAGCATACTGGATCTGCTCAGCTCGAACCCGCTTCATGACCTGTGAACATTTTAATTGTTAGTCACACACACCTGAAACAACTTCAGGAAGATAAGTCACCTGCACACTACTGATAATAAACAACTCATCGTCTCCATGACAGCATTAACCCTCTTGAGCACAGCATCTCCCAAGTAGCTAATTAGCTCGCAAAGAGTGGAGTTTATGGGATTATTAAGGCCTTAAACATAGAATATCTCAAAAAGTTTGCCTTAAACAACAACCAATCTGCACATGAATGCAGCCTAAAAGCCCGCAGCTCTCCACATGAGAAGGGTTCACTGAGCTAACCTGCTAACTTAGCACTAGTGGGCCTGGTGGCTCTCAGAACTTTTAGCGGGACGAACCAGTTTCTTTAAATAATCGACACTCACTGCATATCGTTCTTCCCCGTCCACGGTTACTGTCTGCAAACTGATTATATCATAATGCAACTCGGTTTACTACGCTGCTGCCAGTCTGAGCCGCTCCATCGTGGTTTTCCGCCCACCGGTCAGACTCCAGGTTAGCGTAGCTAGCTTTCTCTGATGAGTAGTAGCTATCTTCAATCTACTCACCCTCCTAGGTGTAGCTATATCGGCGATCGACTAGCCTTGTCTTAATCACCCCTGATCTCACCAAACTCATTGAAGTTTTTGGTGAGATATAAAAAGTGACAATCCGACTTCTGGTATTTGTCGTCGAATTATAATAATAATAATAATAATAATATAATAATAATCTCTTCATTTATATAGTACCTTTAAATGTTTTCAAAGTGCTGTGACAGACAGAGCAAATACAGCAAAAACAATAACAGAGATCAACAGAGAGGGCAAAATTATAAAAATGCAAATAACATGAATAGTATGGAGTCAACAGGCAGGTATGGAGAGGCAGTTCAGTACAGTGAAGGAAAATTAGTTTAAAATCAACCAGGAGAAAACAAAATGAAAACTGAGGGAGAGTGGGACGACATCACATCACAGGCTGTAAACACAGAATGAAGATATAAAGAAGGGATAAACAGGACATTGGTTAAATGAATAAAGCAACAGAGAGCTGAAGAGTTAAAAGATAAAAGGAGTAGAAATTAAAAAGACTAAGAGCAGTAAAATGAATACAGGAAGGGATACATTTAAAGGCTAAAACATTTAAAGAAGAGAAAGATAAAAAGGTTAAAAGCAATAAAATTAATAAAAGGAAGAGATAGATCTTTAAAGGAGAAATCACATAAAAGCAAGTCTATAAAAGTGAGTTTTAAGAAGTGATTTAAAAGATGCCGTATGTTTGAGTTATTTGTATTAATATACTTCTGACATGATAATGTGATCATATTTATGTATGGAAGCCATAACAGGACTTGCAACAAGACATTAATAAGTAAATAATATTACATTAGCCTATTTATAAACCACACAAAGGAGGGCTAGCTAGTCATATAAAAACTACGGAAAGTTTTATATTAAGTTCATATATGAGCTTAATGATATTAATTTATGTTAATACTAACACCCCATAAATATGGAAGCCCTTAGTGGACATGGATTTATACATTATAGATCTGAATTATTTTTCCTGTAGTAATGAGGATTTTCTTCTTAAAATCGTGCTCTCTTAACATCTTTACCTTGTTTTCTCAGGAGAACAACTCTAGTGTTTACTGTGCAAAAGTTTATTTCAGTCGTTTTGTAAGATCTTGAGGAATCTACTTGTTATCACTGTAAAAACAGCATTGTTGTCCCGAAATAACGGGATCAATTATTCAATATTTTGAGGAACAACAGGATATTACTCATTATCACAGTAAAACTACGACTAAAATAAAATCTATAAATGCATGTACGCGTAGGGCTTCTGTACTATTGGGTATACTAATACATGTTTTTATCATTACCTTTTTTTTCTTATCACTTAAAATAATGTGCTTTGGTAAAGTAGCAAGAAAGATTTGTGAGCATTTATCTGCCTTGTTTCTCATTGTTTTTATTTATGCTCCTTATTTTTGAGGTCTCTGCTGGTCTTTTATTCGTGTGCACTCCATTCCAAGTAACAATTAAAATGCCTGAATATATTTATTTTTACATGAATCTCCCCACACTTTTTACTTTATTGTTTTTGTCTTATTATCATATCGATGGTTGTGTCACGTTCTATGAGGGACAAAAAATGACTAAAGTATAAATAAATAGATAAATGTTGGGAGAAATGCATACAATAATGAATTAATAAATAAATAAATATATAAATAAATATATTCATATATTTATTTATGTATTTATGTGTCCATGTTGTAAAAGGAAAAGTAAATATGTAAATTAAGTGGGCTGTCCTAACATTACTGAAGTAGGATTGGTCAATTTTGAAAAACAGACAGAAACAAATTTACATAAATACTTTTCCTCTTACGACCTGGACACAGAAATAAATAGATGTGTAAATGTAAAAATACGGAAATAAATAAATAATTTATTTATTTATACATTATTGTATGCATTTCTCCCAACATTTATTTATTTATTTATACTTTAGTCATTTTTTGTCCCTCATGTATTTATCCCATGAAAAAAACGATGGGCGGGATTTTCCATTGACCTAGTGATGACGTATATTTCAAGCGACAGCAACGCGCGCTGTCCGGAGATATTCTGTTGAGAGCTGTCGGCGTTGTTGATAGAGCCCATCATCTAAATATCATATATCCCTCGACTGTGAAGCAGTAGGGGGTCTCATAGCAGGTATGTTTAGCCCCCGCGCCGCCTCCAGCTCCGGCCGCAGGCAGTCGGGCAGGACAACCGGGAGGAGAAGCGTCTCCGGTGCGGCCAACAGCCTGCTGTTTTCCCCGCGCAGGACGGGGCTGTCAGCGAGGTGAGTTAACCTGCATATAAATATTCTTTACTCTCTGTATGTAAGGTCCATCTAACTAAAGCTAATGCAATGTAATTCCACTGTCCTGCTACAAATAATACCACGATAAAGAGCCTCATCCATTGTTTTTACTTTAACTCTGCTTTCTGAGCCATCTAGTTTGTGTAGGTGTTTCTGATACTTGACATTTTTTTGTCACAACAGTTTAAGAAACAGGAATATAATTATCAAAAATAAGTTAAAAATCAAACATATATATATATATCAGTTAAATAAAGGGAGAAAAAATACAATAATAGAAGAATACAAGGTATGTCCACATACCTTACACACATGTGGATTGTATCAATAAGTACCGAAACTTCAAAAAAAAAACCTACAGAACTTAAGTCATATTTCTAAAGGATTTCTAAATCCTTTAGAAGGATAAATAAAGAATCCCTTAGGTTTCCCATAAAGATGCAAACGTTAGGCGGATATCTCTTACAAACAGTCAAAGATCAGAGGAGCTGACACTGTCTGAAATGCACAACTGGATTGGCAACTTATTTTTGCATTTTAGAGAGTACGCAGGATTTGGCTTGCAAGTTTTGGTAATAAATCAAATGAAGTATCACATATTGGGTACCTATTCTGGTGATTTAATATGATTGTCTGTGTTTTACTCTAAATCTCTCTGTGCATCAGGTCAACACCCACCAGAGCTCAGAGTCATGCAGCTGCAGAATGCATCAACTATGATGTGCAAACCTTCGGCTCATCGCTGCCTGTCAAAGTGATGGAGGCGTTGACGATGGCAGACGGTAAAGGAAATAAAACTTTGAGGGTCTTCTGTTTATTTTCTGCTATGAGTTCCAGTTTGATGTTTTTTTTTAAGTCCCATATCCAGCTCTAGTATTGTCACTGAGCAGGTTTGTGTGTGCTTTGCTGCCTTTAGCTGAGGACCAGATCTCAGTGAAGGTGGATGAGAGTGGCTGGGCGTGGATGGTTTGCGGAGAGAGATTGATCATCTGGAAGATCTGCCAGACTGCTGTGGCAAAGGTACTTCATATAATTACACTCAAGCTGCAAGTATCAAAACAACGACTACTTTCCATTGTAGATAATTTAATAATACAATGAAGCGTATTTTCAAAAGTACCATCACATATATTAAACAATTGTTTACATATTTAAATGTATTTTACATGAGTTGTGACAAGTTGCTCTGTAATTTCTTGAGTTGTTATCATGCATCTACACCTTAGTGATTCTTGTCAGATTCAATAAGTGGCAAAATTTAAGTCTTCAAATCCAACCACTCTGTTTGTGTGTTTTCCTCCAGTTGTCAGTGTGTAAAGAGCTTCAGCTGCCAAATAGTGAGTACAACTACACAGCCGACCTCGTGGCTGTGATGTCTGCGGCTCCTCTGGAGGTAGCCACTGTTCAGTCCATCTCTGTCTTGGCGGTGGCTGTCGAGGGAACAGCTCGCTTGTGGCCAAGTCTGTCACAGGAAGGAAATTACACAGAGACAGACATGGACCTGGGAGATCTGTGCAACTTTGTTGTGGCTGTCAGAGTACGTACATACGTTTTGTTTTGCAGCTGAAATAACCTGGCCACGTGATTGGTTACAATACTCTCTCTGACACATCAGCTATAAATAAGTGCAAAGGAAAATATTGAGCTTTTCCAGTCAGACTTGATTTCCTGTCTTTTTCCTGTCTTTATTTTCTACTTTTCTCTCTTCTCAGGGTGGCAGCTTTGTCCTGACCTTGGAGAAGAGTCGGCTGTTAAGAGCGACTCCAGATTCTTCTGGGAAGCTGCAGTACCGAGCCCTGCAGCAGGGTCAGGGGATGCTCTCAGGCATAGGACGCCGTGTCTCCAGCTTGTTCGGCATTCTCTCCCCTCCAGTCAATGACACGGTGAGTCACAGTAGGTAGGGCTGTGAGATATGGCCGGAAAAAAAGGTCTCGGATTTTGTAACACAAAGGTCGAAGTACGATTTTAATGGACTTTTTTTCTTATGGAAGTACCTCAAATTTTGTACATTTCCCCGCTCTATTTGGTATTGTTTAATGTTATTGTCACTTAGGTGTCGAATTATGTGAGATGACTGCTAGGTTTACTTGTTTGTTTGTGGATAAGACTGTAATAAGTGTGCAAGCAGATTTGGTGTACAGAGAGAAATAAATCGTAAGTGCTGTGGCAGATCTATAAATTAATTCTGGACTATCTCTTCACAAATGGTGTGATTTGTCAATGTAATAGGTTTCTTCAGTTTACCAATAGATACGATGTTCATGTTTTTCAATTCATTTTTTTATGGCTGCAGCTTCATAGTGTGCTGTGGGTGGGCGGAGCCAGCTGTCTATACACACTGACCAGCTCAAGTGTGAGTAAATGGGAGCTGGACGACAGCTACGAGCACCAGATCTTCAGCTGGGATGCACAGAGAGCTCTGACAGAGAGCATTGCAGACGCCATCTGGGTCAGTACAAGGGAGCATTTATACCATTGATGAACTGCAAACATGTCTTTACAAGTTTTGTATAAAAAATGTATTTTTTAAGGAGTAAAAGCGCATGATGTGGAGAAAAAGGTTTCCAACCCTAGTTTTTTTTCCTGCACCAGGGTTCAGAGAGCAACTACGAGGAAATAAAGGAGGGAGTCAACGTGGCGTACCTGGATATGAAGCTCAGTCAGTGAGTGTGTTCGTTTTGTGCTATTTGTTTTAAATTTGAGTTATCTACTAACTGATGAGCAGAAAAGAGTATGAAGCAGCTTCATAATAAGAGCACAAAGAGCGCCCGGGTTGCTTTTTAAAGTAAAGTTATTTTACTATGCACTAAGAAGAGAACTGGAAGCTTGGGATTCAAATTTCACATTTGAATCTGTTGCTTCTTTTTCATAGGAGTACTTATTATCTGTGTAAGAAAAGTCTTGTGCAGCAATGGCACACTTCTTAAATGTCAAATTAACATCTTAACCTCTTCTTAAAATCTTATCACTACATCTCACTACACTGCTGGTGGTCAAGCTGGTGCATTTCTGGGTCAATATATTAAGAATGTCTTTAAATGAATCAGTACAGAGTATATCTCAGGCCAAACTGAGTGACCATGTGTGTGCTGTGTGTTTTTCAGAGCCGGCTTGGTGGTTTTGGCTGCGGCATGGCACCCCTCAGACACTCCCTGTCTTGCTTACTTCTGCCTGGTCACCCTGCAGGACAACGGAGCGGCCATCTCGGACCATTTTACAGTGGAGGTCACCAAGTACAGTGTCCCTTTCCAGGTTAGTCCTCAAGTTAATGCTGCATGCATTTATTAGGATTAGAAGTTTTTATTACGATACCGGAACTTTAAACTTGGGTATGATATCAGAATTATTATAACATAATATATATCTGTTTTGTAACCATGGCAACTAAAAATAGAAACCCCAGGCTCTCGATATTAGGTAATCGTTATTATTTTTTTAAACTCCTGAATTCCTGCAGATATGTAGTTTTTGTGCAATTTAGATTACAGAGCTGGAGCAAAGATGCATGTTAGAGTTGAGCTTTATCCCTGTGGTTTTTTTTCTTTTAGAGTGAGGAGGCCCTTCAGGCAACCTGGCTGGTGCTGCCACGCTCCCCCGGCTCCACGGCCTTCCTTTACAATGAGGAGCTGGTGTTCGCCTGCTGGACAGGAACCAGCAGAGGAGGACTACCTGATGAGAAAATCAGCTTTAACTCAGCAGGTGAAGAAACACAAGAATAATGTTCTCTTGTTTAATACCGGCTCTAATTGAAGTTTGTGTCTCTCTTTCTCTTCATTCTTGTTACCATCTGCTGATTTCCCAGCTTTCACAAAACATTGATTAATATGAAATATAATTCAATGGCTTTTAATGGCCTTAATGTGGGATTTCCTTGTCATTGTTCTTTTGCGCTCTTTGGGACTAGTTCCCACTTCTCACTCATATTTTATATTGGCTCAATTTTTTGTAATGAAGAGAGTCCATCCATCCATCAATTTACTTCATCTTATCCAAGGTCGACTCACACTGGCAGCAAAGTTATTAAGTCAACCCAGACTGTCCTCTCACCTGAACAGTTTTCCAGCTCCTAATGGGTGATTCTGAGGCGTCCCCAGACCAAATAAAACATATAATCCCTATAGCGAGCTCTGGGTCTACCGGGTACTCCTCTGAGTTAGTTGTGCTGAGAAAACCTCCAGAGGGTGGCGTCCTAATCAGATGCCAGAACCACCTCAACTGGCTTCTTTCAGTGTGAAGGGGTAGAGGCTCTACTCTGAGCTCTTCACTCTATCTCACCCTATCCCTCTGTGTTCTTGTGCAGGTGATGGTGTTCGTGGAGGAGGCTGCTGCGCCAACCTGCCAGTGTTTTTCTCCCTGAACAGCGGCCTGGTGGCGGTGGTAGCCCGAGAGAGTGCCTCCATCCTGCCGGAGACCATGGAGGACTCCCTGTGCTCCTCGCTAGCTGCAGCTCCAGAGGTAAAACTCAAAACTCAGAAACAAAAAACTTGAGGAAAACCTTAACTCAAATGAAGTCGAGAAAAAGGTCAGTCAATTTGTGATTATGTACCAGATTGTGACCAACTCTAAGATTCATTTCTGATTCTGTGTTGAAGGTTTCAGTCATGGAGACTCCGGGTCGAGCAGAGCCCATAGCTCAGGAGGACAAAACCAAACACCTGAAGGCAGCTTTCCTGCAGTTCTGTCGGTAAAACCCACTACTTATTTTACTGATTTTTTTAAAATGGAAAGAATTGATTCCTACTACTATGTTGCATAAATTGAGGGCTGAATTTATAACCATATAAATCATTTTTTTTAAATCTGTTAACATTTGACCCTTTTTACTTCATTTTTGTATTTGTCGTCTTCGAAAAAAAAAAACTTTATTGTGAAAAAAAGGTGAAATCATTACAGGACCAACCTTCAGTCCTGGGGGGACAGGGCCTTCTCCATTGCCGCTCCCACCCTCTGGAACTCTCTCCCTAAAAACATCAGAGACTCCCCCACACTCACTTCCTACAAGAAATCCCTAAAAACTCATCTTTTCATCACTGCCTACAACCACTGACTCTCATCCTCTTCCCTCAACACTACTTCTATGTTGTATTGTTCTCTTAGTTTTTGCTTTGTTTTTTGTTGTTTCCTGTCAAAGCGTCTTTGACTATTTAGAAAAGCGCTATATAAATCTAATTTATTATTATTATTATTATTATTATTAGAGAAAACAACTAAAACTAAGAGACAAAGTAAGAAAGGAAGACAACTTTGAAATGTGATAGCCTTCATGACGGTGGCTAGTAAGATCTCCTCTAGTAATGAGAGGGGGGATGTATGAATTAGCATCTATGAATGTATAGATGTGTGTGCATGTCGTTGTGTGAGAGGTGATTGTTGGGGTCGAGGATGAGGTGTAGCAGGTGACAGACCGGAGCTTGACTACTGATGATTTGGTAGGAGGGGCTGAGAATGATAAACCAATGATGCATTTCTATGCAGGCCCCACATATTTTACTTCATTTATTAATAAACAAAATGTGCACCACTTTTTTTCCAAGGTACTTTCAAATAATATCAATATCTGCATGATTGAGGGTTGGAAATAAGAAGCTACACCACGGTTATTAAATCCCTGTGATATTTGAAATAAGAAATACTCTGTTCTCTGTCAGGAATGATCTGGTGGGCGCTCAGACGGTCACAGACGAGCTCTTCCCGGTTGACAGTGACGGAGAGGAGGGAGCTGAGCTGGACGGAGTGGTGACTCGAATAAACCTGGACCTAGTGGACGATTATCCGGCATCAGACCCCCGCTGGGCAGAGTCTGTCCCTGACGGTGAGGAGAAGAGAGAGAGGGCGAAGGTCTATCCTTAATAAAGCGGGAAAAAAACCTGTTATCAGGTTGAGAGCTGGCTTGTGTAGCATTTCACGATCATTTTGAATTATGAGAGTGTAAAAAAAACTACAGAAAACTTGCTGTCTGTTTTTGCCGTAGTTACACTAAATGTAATTTTTACATTTGAAAAGATATTTCAGTGTATGGTGCATTAAGTTGTGTCAAACCAGTTACCCAGATACTTAAATTTTTTTTAACAAATATGAATACTTTCATAAATGAATTTCCCTCAGCCATAAATATCTATTACCCTAAGGTATAAATATCTTGTGTGTCCTCGAGACGCCCTTTAAGAACTGTGAATGATTTACAACAAAAGACCTCTAAACAATCTAATCTAAACAACCCTGGTCCCTAAAGACATTCAGGATGATATATATATATACAGAAGACAATTGAATAAAATCACAAAATCTTAATCATCAACAACAAAGACCAAATCAGACATTTGTTTTGCATTTGTGTTCATTTCCTCATTTCTGTTCCTGCAGAGAGCGCTGGTTTTCCTCTCACCTCCCTCATCATCCTCCACCAGCTCGAGGACAAGATGAAGGCCCACGGCTTCTTCATGGACTTTCTGCTCCAGGTACACACACAAAAAAAAAACCTCATACCTGCTCACACACAAACCCAGCTTAAATGTATCAAATGATGGTGCACAGAGCTTCTGAAGTAGCCTTGCATCAACTCCAGGGTTGATTCAATTAAAGAAATATTGTTTTTGAACTGTGCTGATCTCTTTAAGGATTCAGAACTTAGGTTTTTGTTTTTATGGTATCAAACAGGCTTAGACTGAACTCTTATACCGACATTCATTTATATAGAAGGATTTAGGATGGATGAAGTTCTTGAGAAAGTTAAGGTTTCCACTCCTCTCAGCCCTGGAGGGTTCTGTGAAAGTGTAGGAAAGTTAATGATAAATGTCCACATGGTGGTGCTATTGAACCCAAAGTTAATGTAATCCTAAACATGGGTGTTCTACCATTTCAGCATTGCATTCCTTTAACATTGTCTGACTTGTTTTGGACAGTTTTGTAAAGGCGAGAAAAGAAGAAGAAGATACAATGTTTTTTATTTGACCTTGGTGCTTACATTACCCACAGCATCACAATGCTCACTACACTATCAGTGGCACATATAGCCTGGAGCCTCTACCCTGCATCAGAGAGGAGCAGAAGGCTAAAATCCACACAAACTGAATCCTTATAACTTGTCACTTGAGTCAGCATAGGTTGGACTAGACGCTTCATCAGTTAAGGCATGCAACCAGGCCTCTTAAAGCTCCACACTAAACCCAATAAAGATTCATTAAGATCGAAGTCGGTGTCTTCCCCGGTCAGGTGGGTCTGCTGGACCGGCTCAGCCAGGTGAAGGTGCGCTCATCTCCCATGGCAACACGCCTCCTGTTGTGCGAGCATGCCGAGAAGCTTCAGGCGGCCATCGTGCTAAAGAACCATCACGCCAAACACGCTGAGCTGGTGAACAGAGCCATCAGCAACGCCCTGCAGAGGAACAACGCAACCGTGCCACCCAGCCTCACGTCCGCCGACGTCTTCTTCAGAGAGGTCAGTGTCTGACTGTGAGCTTTGACTGCTGCTTTCTGTTGGACGTCTTAATAAAGAATCATTTTGGTGCGCTCACAGGTGTCTCAGATCTCCTCGGTGTTTGATTGTCTGCTGGAGGAGGAGGAGCGGAGTCTGAAGGAGACCCCGGTTGACTCGGTGCAGTGGGCTGATGTGGTTCTCTCCGTCAACAACATCATCAAGGTACAAAACATTTCCTGATATCATGACGGGTTGATGTTTTGCTCATTCAGTTCAATGAAGAAAAAAAAGGTGAAATGAAATGTAAGATGAATGTATTCTGTGTGTTTGCAGGACGTTCTTCAGGCTGCTGGTCAGTACAGAGAGACAAAGGCGTCCATTTACAGAGCTTCAGAAAACGCTAATGCGGAGCCTGAGTACATCCCGTGGACAGGTAAATACACTCACTGGAGCACTTCAAAGACAGGGCTGTTGTACCTCTCCATCTGTGTAAAACATACCGAGGCAGAATGGTTGGGAGAAGTCGTTCTGTAAAAAGCCAGCAGCAGAGGTATTTCAAAGAAAAGCATGACAGAGGCAATGGAAACCTTTCAGATTCATGCCAGTAACAGACAAAATGTTTTTTCTCATATAATGAATGGTTAACTCCACATTTACTGCTTGATCTCTCCTTCTCCAGCATCAGGCGGTGTTGATGGCGTTCGAACAGTTATCTCCCGCCAGCACGAGATTATCCTGCGCTCTGTGTACCCGCACGCTGACTCAGAGCTGCGCAGCGCCTTCTGCGAGCAGCTGGTGGCGCTGTTGGACATCTACTTAGGTGGATACGTGGCCCAGCTGACCTCCCTGCAGGAGCAGAGGCCCTCAGGGGCCCAACAAGATCGCTACAACACCCTGGAGATGGAGTACAGCCAGCGGCGCTCTGAGCTGCTCGCCCCTCTGTGTAAGTGGGCGATTAGACACGTCTGAGGATCTGACTGGGTCTAATAATGATGTTAATTTCAAATAAAAAAGATCATTAATCAGAGTCTGGACAGTGAAGGCAGACAGGAAACAGTGGGAGATGAGAATAGGGGATGACATGTGACTTATGTGGAAGGTTTGGCTCGAACAAAGGATGCATGCAGTAACCGCTAGGCTTAATCACCGCCTTGACATTTAAAGGTTAAAAAAGTTTAATTTCAATGATCTTTGCTCCACGTCATTCCTTTTTGTTTCCTGTCTCTCGGACATAATTTTTTTTTAAGTCTTATTTTATGGTGTCAACAGAATTTGTTTGCTCAAAGATATTTCTATTTTTTACAGAAAATATACAGTAGACTGCAATATTTACAAAAGATATATGATGCTCTCTCCTTTCTATCCCTGTACCTGTCTACCTGAATTGGGCGTGTTGACTTGTAAGCAGCAGTGCTGATGTAATGCAGCTGTGATGGAGACAGGCTAAATTTTGAGTCAATTCCTGTTTTCTTTTTTTTTTAAATGTCACAGTGTCTGAGGGGAATTATTTAGTTTTTTGTTTTGCAACAAAACACATTTTACTAGGTGTGTTATGCTGTTGTGACTGAGGTTGTTGTGTGTTGCAGTGGAGCTGGGTCAGTACCAGTGGGTTGCAGCTCTGGCTGAGAAGTATTGCGACTTCGACATCCTGGTTCAGATGTGCGAGCAGACAGACAACCAGAGCCGCCTGCAGCACTACATAACCAAGTTTGCAGACCAGGTACACAGAGAAGCAGAAACACTCAAGGGTATCTTCTAACAAATTGTGTTGTGTTGGTGTGTTAAACATGACCGGCGCACAATGGAGCACAAACACAATCGTATTTCTTTTTGTCCAATAGTAGCTATTTATGATGCTAATTGAAATTATTTGGAGCTGGAGGGATCCGTTTCTATGTCTATTTTGCACCATCTACAACACCATTGACAAAGGAACATGGAAGTCTGTTTCATTACACAAATAACTTTTACATTAACATTATTATATAATTTCATCCAATTCTATAAAATGTGCTCTGCTGGACAAACCGTTGTTTTCTGAATTATTCTGTTAAAAAGTTTTTTAGTGGAAAACATTCAAGCTTATGCCAATATATCTTTCATTGGCCCCGTTGATGAATCAGTATGATGATAGAGAAAAGCCTTAAAAGTGATTAGCCTTACCTTGATTCTATTATAAAACAAACTTGGTTCAGCTTTCTAAAAGAGATATGGACCTTTTCAAAGCTTAGGGGCTTCAAATATTCATCATTAAGTTATCTGCTTTTTTATTGGTTCAAGCATTAGTTAAAAAAAAAAAAACATCCAAATAGTGTTGATCAGAGTTTCTTGCACGTTGATATTTTCTTGTTTCTTTTCTGCTTTCAAACTGTAAAATAAATATGTTTGAGTTGTTAGAATAATGCTTTTAAGGATTTTAAGTCACAATATGTCCTCTCTTACGTCCTCTTTGTCCTCCTCGTGGCTCGTTCTTTCAGAACTTTGCTGACTTCCTGTTCCGATGGTACATGGAGAAGGGGAAGAGGGGAAAGCTTCTGTCTCAGCCGGCTGCTCAGCACCAGCAGCTCGCCAGCTTCCTGCAGTCTCACCAGCACCTGAGCTGGCTACACCACATCCACATCCACGACTACAGCAGTGTACGGCACGCACACACAATAATTGTTGTTTTGTGATCCAGTTTGGGCTAGAGAGACTGTTTATGCATGACACAATACTCAAATCAATCAAAATCAACCAGATCAGGCAGTTCTTTGTTTGTTTGGATCCCCATTAGCTTCAGCATAGCGAGAAGCTATTCTTCCTGGGGTCCGCAGTTTATATTGTGACAATACATTTTACAGATTCATATTATATATTATTATTTTCACACTACACAAACATTCCACAACATTTCTACAATAACTACAAATAATAAAGACAATTGACATAAATGAACAAAAAACCCAAAAGAAACTGACAAACACAAAGGCTCTGTTTGATTTACAGCATCTAAAAACACAACATGGTTACACAACATGTGTGCTGCTGTAGCTGACGTGTTATATTGTAACTCTGCAGGCTCACAGGACACTCTACAGTCAGGCCAACATGGAGACTCGTTACTTTGTGAAGAAGAAGACGCTGCTGGCTCTCAGTAAGCTGACAGTGCTGGCCTCCAACCTGCCGGAGGACGAGCTCAACGAACAGGTCGAAGGTAAAAACAACAGCTGTTCTCCAATGGACGCTACATAGAAAGTTTTTTTTTTTCCATCTAAAAATAGTAATATTGAATACTTACTCAGAATACTTATCATAGCTGCTAGGAAGACAATCACAAAGAAGTGGCTTTATCCAGCGAGCCCAGCTTTAGAGGACTGGTATGATAAATGTAGTCAAACCTTTATTGTAAAAAGGATCACACAATTTGAGGAACTGAGATGCATTTCTGGTTTTAGTTAAGATATTTTTTATGTGACTTGTGAAAAAATGTGTGTATACAAATGATTGGCTCCTTTTTTGGTAGAAAAACACCATATTTTGTCTGTTTTATATCCATACTGTAAAACCTGAAAAATGACTGTATCATCATCTGTGATTCTGTGTAATTCCAAAAAAAAAAAAAACACTACAACAATTAACTTTGCATAATAGTAATAATACACATGATGCAGATGCCATATAGTGGTGACATTATATATATATATTTTTATATATGCCTCCTTAAAAAGGCTCCAGATACAAACTGAACACTTAACAAATGACTCGTGTATGAGGCAGACACTTGTGCTCCTGTCGTCACCATGTCTTTGCTGTAATCCTGTAAAAACTTCAAGATGAGGATCTATGGGTTTTAATATCAGTATTTTTTTGCTCCAGGTGGAAAATACAAACTTGTGCTGCTCCTCCACTTTGTTAATAATGAATACAAGTATTTTGATAAATATTGAAAGATGACACAGTAGCATTGGTGAACTGGTTTTGTAACTTGACGTTATGTTGTCATTCGTTTGTCTAATCAGACATCGTGGAGCAGGAGCGCTTCCTGCTTCATCAAGAGACTCTGCCCCGTCAGCTGCTGGAGGAGAAGCAGCAGAACCCCGATACCATGCCTCTGCTCAGCGCTCACAACCTCATACAGGTTACAAACACACACACACACACTCTCACACATTCTGTTTACTAAGATGTCTGTGGATCACCAAGTGTAATGACTGACACACTGTTTCTTGTGGAGACATGAGACAAGTATTTATGACAGCCGTAATAAGATTCAGTATCACAGGTGTGTATCATGTTTGGTTATTTCCTGCTTGATTTACACATATCTCAAAAAACGTAGTTGAAAGTAGACAATATAAGACAAAAGCAACCTTCCAGCTCCTTTAAAAAAAAAAAAGTTCCTGGGACTAAAAGTGAAAACATATAAAGGAGGCATATTGTTTCTCTAAAGCACAGCTGATGTGTAATTTTGTCAAATCCCTACTTTCAAAGATGTGAAGTCAGTATCAGCATGTATGTGTTAATTTTTGAAACACAACCTTAGCCACCAAGCTTTTATTGACACTGTTGCTCTGTGAGATTCTACTTTTAACCGTTTTTTTTCTCCATAAATCGGATTTGGATCAAAAATGGTCATCTTTTAGTTTAGTAGAAGCTTTACAAAAGACAATAAAGGATGAGATTTCTGGAAATATCAACCAGTGGGTTGACTTTAAATCCCAAATGTGAAGCAGGAAACAACACTTCCTGTTTATAATGAATATTTGAAACTCAGGTCACTGCCATGAATATTGAATAAAACATTGAACACTCTTACAGTAAGTAAAGCCTTGCTCACTGCAGTTGTCCTTCTCTCCACAGCTGTACATCTGTGATGACAACAGACGAGCCAACGAGTACGACTTCAAAAAGGCTCTGGATCTGCTCGAGTACATCGACGAGGTCGGTTTTAGGTCGTTCTGAGGTTTGGCAGCTTTCGGTTTGTTTTAAAGTCAACTCATGTGGATCTTGTGTGTTTGCAGGAGGACGATGTGGACCTGGAGTCGCTGAAATGTGAGATCTTTGGGAAAGCACTGAGGAGTGATGAGTAAGATCAATCTGTCATGTTTACTTTTTACATAAAAATATTGAGAAGTAAACAGATTGTAGGTAATACTTACACTGATTTATTAAAGTGCTTAGTGTACGTCACAGTTTTTTTTACTTGCTTGACTCTGATACTGTGTTCTCCTCAGTTGGTCCTCTGCTGACGGTACAGACGACCCTCTGGACGCTGCTAAGGACAGCATCTTCGTCAAAATCCTCCTCAAACTCATTCAGGAAGGTGAGACACTGATGGCTCATAAAGCCGAGTTTAAAATGTAATCCGGAGTACAGGTAGGGGGATTAAAGATTATGGTTTAGTCTGTCCAAAATGTAGCTCAATTATTATTTTGAACGGCTACATCTTGAGTAACAATCTTGTGGTTAGATGCACATCACTTTATAGCCTTTTCACACATATGTAAAAGTTATGCATGATCTCCATGCAGGTATTAAAGCTGCTTCATATTGTGTTCTGCTCATCAGTATGTTCTTGTACTGTATTTGTTCATTCTGTGAATACATTCAAATACTGTGAATACAACCAGTTACATGTCACATTGATAAAAAAGCAAAAACTACCATTATAGTCTCGGACTCTGTCTCTTTTTCCACCTTCCTTGGTATCTATTTTACATCTTGTTCTGCCTCCTAATATGAAGTCATACCAAACCAATACATGTTTTAGTTCTGCTGTAAGTTCACAGTACTCTATTTACTAAGCTGTCATGCACTTCAATTACAAAGCTTGCATAATTCATTCATCTGTCTTTGAATACAACAAAAACATGACAAAGTATTTTGTTTCTTTTCAGGAGTTCCTCTGCAGACGTACCTGCCTGACGTCAAAGAGCTGCTGGATTTGGACGAGCTGAGTGGTCTGAAGTCAAAACCTTATTTTGAGTTTGTACTTCGAGCAAATTATGAACATTACCTTCAAGCTCAGATGTGATGACCGCTGCTGGTAACGCCTCCTGCACCTCACCTCTCCCTTTCTATTCTGATCGACATGTTTTGTTTGATTTGTGCTCTTTTCTAAATAAATGTATTTGTATTTCTTTACCTAGACTTGAATATTTTTATAAACACATAAATCAAGTTCAACATAGTTTAAAGCCACACAGATAATGGTTCAGCTTTGGTTTGGAGAGCTGTTTTGACTTTAATGGATAGGACAGCTGAAGAGAGATGTTAGATGTTGGGAGGAGAGATTGGGGGAGGACATGCGGCAAACAGCCGATGTCGGATTCGATCCACGGTTGCTGTGATGAGGAGTCTTGTGCCTAATGAATGGAGGTTTCATGGGGCACTAGACATCACCGCTGGTGACATTTCTAATCTTATCTCAGTTATAAACAAAAATAGCCACATAATATTAAAATGTAAAAAGGGATTTTTAGAAATAGCATCTTAATTAATTTTAAAAAATTGCATCCAGACATTCACTGAAGTAACTTAATGAGTTGAATAAGCTCAGGTTGACATCAGTATATGTTGGTTGGTGTAGTAATGAAAACATGCACTCGAAAACTAAAAAACAAGAAGTTAGTAAGATTGCAGCAGGGGAACTTTTGAAGTATCACTAAGGTACAAATTGAGAATAATTTGCAGAGAATAATGATCCAGACTGTCACAAAATAAATCATGAATAATTATACATAAAGTATTTTGTTTTAATCATTAAATGATTTTAATGTATTCAGTTGCTGAACTGTTTTATTTTTACAGGGTCAGTGCTTTGTGCTCAGTGTCAAAAATATCCAAATCAATCAAATATTTTATGCATTAAAAACCTTTATTTCAGCCTTGAAAATCATTGAGGTTTCCCTCATTTACAATGATGTTGAGATACAGATAAAAATTTACAAAAATAAACAAAAGGGCACAAATAAAACAACAAAGACAGGTCAGGATGATTCTCATTACAAACAATTAAACACTGTGGTAAAGTGGTTTGAGATCTTTGTCTTAATCTGCCCAAGAGAAACAAGAGTGTCAATCTTAAGAGTGTTGTAAATTGTTCCACATTTTTGGAGCTAAAAAGCTAAAAGCGGATTTTGCAATGTCAAAGTAAACCCGCGGGACTTGGAGCAATAGACAGTAAAGCGAGTGTGGTAGGGCCCGATGGTGCAGTTCAGCAGAGATGTTATACAAGATGGTGTACGTCCAATAACAGATTTATACATAAAGACATGCATGTGATTATCACGCCTCTGTGACAGAGAAGACCAGCCAACTTTGCTATAGAGAATACACTGATGAGTGTTATAGTGGTCTCCGGTTATGAATCTAAGAGCAGAGTGATAAACTGAATCTAGGGTTTTAAGAGTTGAAGCAGAGGCATGACTATAGATGGTATCGCCGTAATCAAGCACTGACATAAAGACAGCTTCAACGATAAGTTTCCTACAATCAGGAGAGAACTTAACTAGAAAGTTTCTCCAAGTTTCTGCTGAAGTTTGCTAGTGAGACTTTCCACATGATGTTTAAAAGTAAAAGATTCGTCCAGCCAAATGCCATATTTATTTACTCTCTGACCCTTTCAATACTGCTGCCATTGAGTGTGGATTGTAGACTGTTAAAAACAATATCTTTGGCTTTTGAGAAGATCATATACTTGGTTTTACTGGCGTTTATGACCAGTCTTAAGCCGATAAACGCCGTCTGCAAAATATAAAAAGCACATTGCAGTTTCTCTACAGCAAACTGTACAGACTCAGCAGAACAATGCAGTACAATATCGTCCACGTAAAGATGAATGTCACAGTCCGTGATACACGAAACAACATTTTTAATATAGATTAAGAATAACATAGGGCCCAGAACTGACCCTTGTGGAACGCCTTTTGTTAATGACAGAAACGCAGACTGAAAAGTTCCAGGCTTTACACACTGTGATCTATCAGACAGGTAATTCTGGAACCATTAACAAGTGTTGGCCGCCGATCCAGTTCTTGCAGTGTTATATCACAGCCATCAGCTGTAGAGTTCCAGAAACGTGAGCCTGCAGACTCCAGGAGCTGGCCTGCATTAGTCGACACTTACTCCTGTTTAGTGACGAGGGACAGATGTTGGTTATAAATAGATTTGTGTTTCTTGGCTCACTGACTGTCACCCTGACAGGGATCCTTTCAGGGTGTAGCTCACCTAAAAATAATGTAAGTAAGTTAGATTAGGGACATCAACTCTGCTTTACTGCTCTGTTATAACTGCAAAGACAAAGCTTAAAAAGACAGGGACATCAGAACGGAGTCTTTAAAAAACTGGTATTTAATAAAAATCGATTAGTTACTGTATATCATACAGCACTATACAGGTTATTTTGCTAACTCCCTTTGTATAAGTCAAACATTCAAAATTAAAGGCATTTTTAAAATATATAATTTTTTCATATCCTTTTAAGATACCAAATTTCACAAACAAAACATGTGTCTGGTCTTAAAAGGATAAAAACAAGTAATAACCATTAGTCATAAAAGGATACTAAAAACATCTGCATTGTCATTATAAGCCTGTGTTTTGTTTGTTAAAGGGCAGGAACAATGTCTTTTGAAGTTTCATTAGGAAGGCTATTCGGATAGTTTGAGGATATTTAGAAATTTAAAAAAATAAGTCAGTATTTTGTTTAGGATCTAGATGTTTTATACGGATAATAATAGGGTTATATCAGTGAAATAATTAAAGCTGCCCAGAGTAATGATATTTAAGCCCATCTCTCCTAAGATTGTTACTGTAACGTCGTAGAATTATCTTCTCTGCTCAGAGCAGAAGTCTCTGAAATCAACGGTTATATCAGTGAAATAATAGTTACATTTAATCATTAGTTTTGGGGTTGGGTATATTATCTGTGCATGACACAATAATAAGTTCAAGTAAATCAATCAAAACATGAGTTCAGTAAAAATCAAACCAGACCTGCAGGACTGAGAAACAGATTCAAATTGAATCTGTCCAAAACTCAAAGTAAACATGAATATTTTATTGAATGTTCTTCATTACAATGGTGGTCGTTAAGGTAAAAAAACAACATTTCACAAAACAAGATGATTCCACACATAAGTAGACAACATTTTATAAAACCATGGCAGTAGTTCAAGAAACATGATAAGATTCACAAAGCACAGATAGTTTGCTAGTTTTGGCATGTTTTTTTAAAGCATGGTCAAATAAATTCCAGAAGGGTATGTTAAACATATTATTATTTGTGCTCTAGATGAGATGTTGAGTCTGTAAAAGGGAAGATATTTCTCACCAAATGCTTTGGTTGCATCAACTTCCTTCTTCAGATTGATGACTTCAGCCTCCTGCCAGAGTTTCAGTCTCGTCATATTTCATTTCAGTCTTACTCAGCCACTCTGATCCGCAGCTCTGCCAATCTCCACACCTCAGTGAACAGTTGGATAAACACAGCCGGGTCTGTTGGCTCAGTGTTTGTCTCTCAGAGGAATCCTGTCTCAGTCTTCAGGCTGCAGCTGTCTGGTGTGCTGGAGGTCCTGACCCTCTTGTTTTTGAAATTGAAGCCTTAATGTTGCTCAGCTGCTGATGTTTTTGTTTGAGATTCAAAGAAAATACACAATTTTAGAGCTGATAGGATGTTAGGAATCAAGAATCCTAAAAGTGCGGTCACTGCTGAGTTAAGAAAATAACAAGATACCAGTTTTGCATTGCTTCAAAAAAAAGACAAGAACACAGTGGCGATTCTAGACCACTTTTACTGAGGGGGCCAAACTGGGGCAAGTTGTTTTGTCAGAGGGGAACATTAAACCCAGGTGAAAGATAGACAAAGATGCTTTAAAAAAATTATATAAACATTCATTTCATCATTAAATACCATGATTTATATTTGTTTCACTAACAATTTAATACTAGATTGTGAGTCAAATACTGTGAATGTGTTTTGAGGGGGGCTCTTCCTTTTGGAAGGGTGGCCACAGGGGGGACCAAGCTCAGTGTTACAGGGGCACTGGCCCCTGTTGGCCCCTGCCTAGAACCGCCCATGCAAGAACATTTACCTAAAACTGAAAAATACTGTACTACTACTTACAGGCCTATGGATACAAAGTTTAATAGGCTACAGCCTATATTTAAAACACAACAATCGCAACGAGACAATAATGCAATGAAGAGTGTGAAGGGGATGATATATTGTTCAGGCTCAGGCTGCCATATACACAAGTTTTGGCTAGATAGTTGTAATATTTACAGAGGAAGTGGATTTTTTGGCATTGGCCTAGTGATGAATGATAGGCTAAATGAAAAAAAAGGATGAAATTTAAAAATGTAATTTGTCTCTTTCTTGTTTTGCTTTCTTTTACACCTTATTGAGTATGTGTTCTTGTTAGCTTTATTGTTTTTGCTTGGACTACATTAATAATATGTCTCTGTGTTACATGTTTCTCGACAAGCCCCTCTGGGTTTATTTGGCTCCTCCAGCACATTTCTTTCAAAATGTGTAGTTTGTTAATTAACTAATCATTATGTACTGTCTGTTTTTCCATTGATCTATTATGTTTATGGTTTTTTTGTGTAATAAAAAAAAAAATTAAATTACATTAAATTAACAAAGACGATAGGCTAAATAAATACTAAAACCAACACAAACAAAAAAAAATATTTGTATTTCAAAGCTTAAAAATTAAAAATCAAAGCTTAAATAAATAAATAAGGTAATACTTTTGAATGGGTGTGTGAAGTAGTAGACTACTCCACACCTCCACACCCGTCTAACGGTCGGTGCCTCGGTCTGATCTCGCTCCATACACGGGCTCGAGAGCTCCACCACTGCCTCGCGGGGGCTACCTCTCCATATATGGCCCTGCCCGGCCACCCTCCCGCGCCACCATGTATGGACGAACAGCCGGTCGAATTCCTGCCGAATACTCGGACATTCCAGTCGGTTGTCTGGGGCGAAGAAAAAAACACTCTCCGGGTGGTACGGAGGGGAAAGAGGGGTATATAAAGACCCCGGTGGTCGCTGCCTGTCACCTCCTTTCAGCTGGAACCAGCAGCGGGTAAAGCTCCTCACTGACAGCCGGAGACAAGTAGAGGTAAGCAGCTTGGATGGACGCTCCTGATGGGCAGGGTGGATGGAGAGAGTTGGAATTAAGTGTTTAGTTAATGCAGTCAGGTGTGTAAATTTAGGTGTGTGAAACAGATTGGGAAAAATCCGGATTGAAAGTTGGCAGTGAACTGTAGCTGGCAGTCTGTTCACCTTCAGCAGGGAGAGAAAGCCACTGTTGCTGTGACAGGCAACGAAAAACTTCCTGTGAGGCAGCCAGACCTGCTGCATTCAGGGGTTTTCGGATATTTGGGAATTTCGAGGGATTAGGACAATCGGAGTTTCTATAACACCAGAATACCATTTTTTTTAATGAGGGTCAATAATTTGGTGATTTGTTTTTATTTTTGCATCCATGTCACACAATAGCCTATAGTCTAGTCTTAATAGAACAAATTTTGCTTTAACCTGCCTTTCGTTTTTCATTCATTTATTTTTTAATTTAGCAAGAAAAGAATCCATTTTATCAAAATTATTTTTCGTCTTCCATTGATTACTTAACACATTTTGAACAATATAAACAATCAATCGAAATGTGTGAAGTGAAATAATAGGCAAAAGGTAATAGAACAGTGAAAAAACATTGAGAAAATAAGAGTGTTTGCAATCTAAGGTTTAGTAAGTTTATGAGGAACACTTGAAGGCATCATTACACTAAATGAAGTTATTATGGTGTTTTTGTTCGTGATTTGTTAATTTAACTGTATTGTGTTGGATAACTGTCCTTTAGTTTATAGAAAACATAATCCAGACACAGGGAAGCAATTTAAGAGTGAGTTGCAGTCAATAGCCTTTTCTATTATTAGTGCTGAAAAACATTCCAAGACAGAATAACAAATTAATAATCTGTCTCTAGTTAAAGATAACAAAACAAGTTACTTCAGCAAATGAATTAATAGTGAAGGGAATCCGCTATTTTTTACACTTTGGTGTAGTTTTCCCTAATGTAAACAAGTTATGTGCTTTGATCATAGATAATAAAATGTAGAATCAAGGTGTACATAGTTTTGTAGCAACAGCATTGTAAAACTACAGACTTATAATACAGTCATAGATTTACTATTAAAAAAGGAAATAGCTATTACTATGGGGATAAAAAAATGTCATGATCAGTGCAACTAAACATCTCACATCTTGGGTTGTAGAGGAAATACTAGTTTTCCTCTTTGTTGAGTTATTTGTGTCATCATGTGGTAATTATAGGATTTCTGTCAGCAGCTGAACGAGGAAACGTGGCACTACCATAACACATTTCAGAAAAATGACTTGCTTCAGAAGTGTGTTTCTGCTTTACAGTTTGTTACCTCTGACTCCCTCTTTCAGATTAACCTGCAGACATGTGTGACGACGATGAGACCACTGCCCTCGTGTGTGACAATGGCTCTGGCCTGGTCAAGGCTGGTTTCGCTGGAGACGATGCTCCCAGGGCTGTGTTCCCCTCCATTGTCGGCCGCCCCCGTCACCAGGTACACCATAAAGCGATGTCAGACTGTCTATTCCTACCAACTCACTCTGTGGAAACACACACCATCTGAATGTCAAACTCCTGGAGTTTTGTTTCTGACTGGAAAAGCTCAAAAAGTTGATGAACTTTTTTGTTAATGATTTAGGTTATTTATCTTAATCAAGCAGGTGGAAATGAGAAGGAAACTTACCACATCTATTTCTGTCAGAAAAGGTCCCAGTTGACCAAACTGTCATCCAATTATCAGACTACGCAAATCAGCTGAAATAGCTTAGCTATAATAAGTTTTATCTGCATTCAAATGTATCACCCTGATGTAGACAGAACAGCTGAAAATCTTTTGGTTATAAAGCTCTGATACTTGAGTTAAATGGACTTCAAATTGTAAACGGCTCCTTCTCCTCCCCTCAGGGTGTGATGGTCGGTATGGGTCAGAAGGACTCTTATGTGGGTGATGAGGCTCAGAGCAAGAGGGGCATCCTCACTTTGAAGTACCCCATCGAACATGGCATCATCACAAACTGGGACGACATGGAGAAGATCTGGCACCACACCTTCTACAACGAGCTGCGTGTGGCCCCCGAGGAGCACCCCACCCTGCTGACAGAGGCCCCACTCAACCCCAAAGCCAACAGGGAGAAGATGACTCAGATCATGTTTGAGACCTTCAACGTCCCCGCCATGTACGTCGCCATCCAGGCCGTGCTGTCTCTGTACGCCTCTGGTCGTACCACTGGTGAGTCATTGATGCAAACAATCTACAATGTGTGCAAGAATTAAAATTTAAGCAGTTACATTTCAACATATGTATACATTTGTAATGCAGAGATTTTTAATTTTGAGAGATAAATATTATTTTCCCTTTGGATGGGAAACAATGGTTAGCATGTTTATGAGTGTTGTCAACACACATAGTGAATTGTGGCATTTCTATCAAATCCCAGTATAAATTAAAACCTATGTTTGACCTTTAAATATAATGAGGACAGTTTAGCTTCTTTTCCTTGCAGATAAAGCAAAATATCATGATAAATATTAGAGTGTAGTATGTTATCATCATCCAGACACTGGGACAGAAATGGTAAATTAGAGTATTGCCTGCCTTTAAGCTCAGATGTAACCCTCCTGTTTCTGCTCTCAGGTATTGTTCTGGACTCTGGTGATGGTGTGACCCACAATGTGCCCATCTATGAGGGCTACGCTCTGCCTCACGCCATCATGCGTTTGGACCTGGCTGGTCGAGATCTGACCGACTACCTCATGAAGATCCTTACAGAGCGTGGCTACTCCTTCGTCACAACCGGTAAAAAGCAGTTCGACTTTATCTTTTAAAAAATACTGCAGCAACATTGGAGCTGATTTGACATTTTTCTTTTTCCTTCTGTAAGTCTGACAAAAAATATAAAGAATCCTGTTTGTGAACTTCTGAGATTTTACTATTTGACCGCTTAACAGCAGCTCATTTGTGTTACCTTCCAATTGAATCTCGCCATTATTTTGGGCACAGTCTGATTTTTACTCTCTGTTTCCAGCTGAACGTGAGATTGTGCGTGACATCAAGGAGAAGCTCTGCTATGTGGCTCTGGACTTTGAGAATGAAATGGCCACAGCCGCCTCCTCCTCCTCCCTGGAGAAGAGCTACGAGCTGCCCGATGGTCAGGTCATCACCATTGGCAATGAGCGTTTCCGCTGCCCTGAGACCCTGTTCCAGCCCTCCTTCATCGGTACTTATTGAAAACTGATTTCTGCAGATTTCTGCTTATTTTGTGTGTGTGTGGGGGGGATCGCTCAAAGGTTGAATAACATAAAGTGAACTCTCACTCCATGTAAGCTAAAACTATCTGTCCTGCTCCTGATCAGGTATGGAGTCCGCTGGTATCCATGAAACGGCCTACAACAGCATTATGAAGTGTGACATCGACATCCGTAAGGACCTGTATGCCAACAATGTGCTGTCCGGTGGTACCACCATGTACCCGGGTATTGCTGACCGCATGCAGAAAGAGATCACAGCTCTGGCTCCCAGCACCATGAAGATCAAGGTACGGCAAACATTCAGATAACGTGTGAGTGGATTTGTGAAAGTCAGAGGAGAGTTTACAAATGGTAAAGACACTATGGAGGGAAGGCTTTACACCAGATTGTGGTGCCTGTCAGCCACAAGAGCATTAAGGAGGTTTTAAAATGAGGTCTGGCTTTAAGTTGGCCATCAAGTTCAAATTGAAGGGCTTTATGAAGGCCATAAAGCTCTTTAACAACTATCAATGAATACCATTTATTTTTAAGCAGAGATGATGACATACTTTTGGCCATATAATGTAGAATAAGATGACCACAAACTAACCCAAACTAACATTGTGTCGTTTTCAACTGGGGGCTTTTAAAGTGAGTTTAAGCCTTAAACTTGAACAGTTCTGATACGAGTTTAAGCAAAAATGTTTACCTTTAAAACAATAGTCGACAGACTAAACTTACGAAAAGTACATTTCTGGAGCTTTATATTGTATTATTCATTTGTTTTTCATATCCTATAAAGAACTAGTGATTTTTTTAAATCACTTGATCAGCAACCAACAAGGACAACAATTCATCTACAATATAAACAGGGGTGTCTGCATAGTTATGGCCATATAGTGTAGAGGAAGGAGAAAATAACCTGGTTCCCTCTACCCAAAACAAAAACAACAACATATAGGTTAGGGCTGCAACTATATAAGAATCATGTTATTAATTTCAACACCTGTTTCTCTATTAAATGTCAGAAATTAGAGAAAAAGTATTCTATCAGATGTAAAGCTTATGCATGCTATATCTAACTGTTTTAAAAATCAACAATATTCAGATTAGAATGAAAAAAGGACTTATTCATTTTTGCATTTTTGTTTGATAATGACATCAATGGTTATTGATTTCTGAAACAATAACTACTTAATTTTCCTGGCGACCAACAACAGTTGAATGAATAAACTAAATACAGATGACATTTCCCTAGCTCTATGTTATATTATTTAGTTTATGTTTTAATGTCAAAATTAAATAAAAATAGTAAAATATGTCATATGATTAAAAGTTGTTCAAAGATGGAGTGAAGTTTTTTTGATGTCTAAACTAAAACAGCTTAATATATTTCTTTGTTACCTAAATTATGTTTAGTTATGTGTCACTTTGAGATTAGCTTCAAAATAAAGTGTGATAGGCTATAAATGTATTATTGTTATTAAATGCAATCCAGAATATTTGAAGTAAAATATCAAAATAATTGCATTTAAAAGCTAGTGACTGAGAGGCATTGATATCATTACTCTTTTAGTTATGATTACTTTGTGAGCTATCAGACAATCACATAACCTGATTTCTTTCTCTTTTGCAGATCATTGCCCCTCCTGAGCGTAAATACTCCGTCTGGATCGGCGGCTCCATTCTGGCCTCTCTCTCCACCTTCCAGCAGATGTGGATCAGCAAACAGGAGTACGATGAGGCCGGTCCCAGCATCGTCCACCGCAAGTGCTTCTAAACACGAAGACCCAAAAACTGCTCCAGGATCTACAAGACACCGCTGTCCCACAGCTCTGATACTCAGACCACTGCCTTACCTGTACATATGTTATTTATTCCTTCTGTTATGTATGTGATTTCTTTGAATGTTAATGTTGTCCAGTGTGTGTATGAGTGAAGTAAGTGTTGGCTTTGAGGTACAACACACTCCCAAAGACCAAAGAAATAAAATCCTTTTATTTTCAAGTAAGAATACTGTCTGTTATTTCCAGTTTGAACACAAGTCTAAAAAAATAAAGAGTTTGAATTTTATTGTATGGGTTTTCATATATCAATTGAGGAAATAAGTAATCAGGGCCTAGGCAAAGTAAAAGTTTTTCATACTGACTATAAAGACAAAACGTTTGACACTCATGAGCTACTGAAAGATTATGAACAGAGACTTCAAACATATAAAAATAATGAAAGCCATCAACCACTAAAACCCTACTTCACTGCTCTGAATCTCGACAAATGAGTGAAACCAGATCCTTCATAACATCTATGAAGCTCTTAAAGCTCCAAAACAAACACTGTGCCAAACTAAACATTATCACGATTTAAAAGAGAGTTGTTATTATTCGTTTCCTGCTGCCAAGTCTCCGCTTTGACAGCTTATTAAGGATCGCTATCTCTGAAGGAGAAAGTCACTTTTATTGTTTTAATCAGCCTGAGTCTGATCTTTCTCATTTCACCTGTTGTCATCACAGCAGAGAGAGAGAGAGAGAGAGAGAGAGAGAGGGCGATCACACATGCGCGTTGCGTTCTCTGCATCTTCAACGAAAATCATATTTCTTATTTTTATTATCTTATTTCCTTTTGTCAAAACCTTTTTTAATTACATAAAAACTTTTTGTGGCATTTGAACAGGTGTGTCGGGCGTATCTGAATATCTTCTCTCTGCTGTTTTTGTTGCCCTGCACCTACGTGATGTGCGTTTAACCAGCCCATTTTTTATTACTACAATTTCTGCTCTGCTATGTCAAGTTAAACTGAGGCAATTAGGTTTTCACCGGAAGTGGTACCCTTTCAGAATAAATACTATTAAAAAGCTATTTTTTACAACCATCTATCTGTGGTGGAATTTTTGTACCTGTTTAGATTCAAATGTACAGACATCATTATGTTTATTCACTGTTCTCTGATGTCAGTCAGATCTGAGTTCAGCCACTAGAGAAGCAAGGACAGCTTAGTGTGTCAAGGGTCTTCCCCTTTATCTGCAAGGTTGTTTGGTAGACTCAGTGTCTGCTCCAAATTGTCCTAGCCATCACAGACTAGTTTAGGTGGGTTAATATGACCCTGACATCAATAATGTTTTTTTCATATATAGCAAAGCAACGGGAGAGTCTGGCAGAATTGGCATCAGACGTGTTCTGCTACTCCATCTCTGCTCCGGAGTATTCTTGTATGTATATATTCTTATATGTATAAACTTTCTTCAACTTACTGAGTCTCCTGAATCATTCTTGTGTGAAGTCAAGTTCTTAGTCATTTCCTCAACACTGTCATTATTTTTGTTTCAGTAAGTCACTATTACACAATTACTGTTAAATGATAAAATAAGCAGTGAGTCAGGTGGAAATGTATTGAACTCATCTTAAACTTTACCATCTGCAGCATTAAAGGGGTGTTTGTTATGGAGGTATCGATAAAAATAATCAAATCATATTATAGTCATAATTGTAAAATTAAACATGTTATTCTGAATATGAGGAGTTATCACCTTTTGGTAATTTAAGTATTTGTTTTTTCTTCTATTCTTCTTTTACGTTTAACAGCATAAAAGGCCTGTTCTTTTTCCGGGCCTGCAAACCATGTCAAAATGTTATGGAGACCCTGAAGTTCCAAAAAATACAAATTAAAATCTTGTGCGCACAAGTTAGAAGATAACTTGTTGGAACCAGATAAATATCTTGCGGCACAAGTTAATTGTAATGTGCGCATACGATATTATCCTCAGGGGATACAAAAAATGCATATATAAATTGCCCCCTCCCCCCCAAAAAAACCTGCAAGAAATATTACAATTTTTCTGAAGAGAAGACATGACAGTCATTATCAAGTCTAGTGTAGCTTGTAAATCTAATGTCTGTTAATTTTGTCAAATCCTTCAATTCAAAGTCCAAGGGCAAAACTGAAGGACAATAAATCATGTGATTTTCATTTCGTTCCTCCGTACTCTATCCCACCACACACCGAGGCCTTTTATTTTTAATTCGCGGATTTTATTTTGATAGTCTACGTCGGAAAGTGTTATTGTACGTCAGGTAACTTGTCTTGTAGCTCTCGTTGTTTGTTAGCTGTCAGTCTGCGGAGCGGAGCGATGCCAGCCATCTGACCGCGGGACAGAGGGAAACACTGGGCTTGTAAATGATCACTTGTCCTCTGGAATGAGGTCTGGGTGAGTACATTTAATGAGACATTAAACGAGCAGCCACACCGGAACCGTGAGCCTCACGTTTGATGGACTCACCGTGTTGTTTAAAGCGAACTGAAGGCAGGCAGGTGAGGGGCTGTGAATATGAATATAGCCTTTTCATCGATAACTATATTTGTAAAACTCAAAATATTCACTCTAGGATGCAATTTTTTTCACCCTAAACAGGCAAAAGACGGCTTTTAAAAACGTCCATGTTGTAGGAATAAGAGTCAAACCCGTGAAATAACAATGGTATGGTGTGGGGTGTGACAGCTGAATGTATGAGCTTTAAATAAGACGCTCAGCTAGAGGCTGAAATACACCAGTAAAATAGCAATAATTCGCATTTTGGCTATTTTGATCCATTTCCCCCCCATGGGATCAGATATAGGTCAGCTCAGTCAAATACATGTATTTATATATAGCCTATACGTTTTTAGAATAAATAAATAAAATGAATATGTGTAGGCGGGAGAAGTCCGTACAGATGGTCTGATGTCGGTCGTGTAGTATGAGGAAGAGCAGAAATTGTACACTCAGTCGTAAGTCTATAATAAGCCTCAATCATCCTCTGCTCAGCCTGTAATCTGTTGAGAAGGGGAGGTGGGCTGGGCTTACAGGTTGACCTCACCTGTCACAGTGACGTCACGAAGGCCTGCAGGTGTAACATACAGTAGGATGTATTATTCTACTGTATGTTACACCTGCAGTGCTTTTAGAACAATCCCTTCTAATTTAATACATCCAAGTGGTTCTATGTCCCAAAACCAGATTTTAAAACCTACAATTTGATTTTATTATAAAATCAAACAATAATTATTTGTGTCTTAGGCTTTCAGTATTGTGTATTTTCTTGTTTTGAATTACCAAAAACTCCTGCACACACTCGCTGTCTAAATTGCACAAATACTCTCTCTCTCTCTCTCTAAGCCAGCGAGTGATTGAGCAATTTCCCTTTTGTTATTATTTGTTTTTTTATTGTGCAAAATGAAAATATAAACCCTTATCATAACAATTTGTATGCTTATTGTAATAACTTACAATATATTTACCAAGGTTGATACAGGTTGACTCATCAATACTTTTTGATACCACATGTTTTTTTTTAAATGATACAATCTCTGGCATTTTATTGATCAATAATATCAAAAGGTACCAAAGCTTAAAAAAGAGGTCAGATCTTCAGTCATATTTCTAAATAAAAGCTGACACAAGAGAAAGAGAGAGAGTACTGCCGAAATTGCGCAAACGTTGGCAACACATTTGTGCAATAAAGACAATGAGCAGACTGCTTGCTAATTTTGGTGATGAAAAACAAGAAAATACTTAATATTGGTTACCTATTGTTGTGGCATTGAAACAGGTATTAATATGTTGTACTCGTTATACATTAAGGAACCGCCCTGTTAAAGGTTTTTTACAGCCCTTTTTAATGTCTTCATCTGATTTCTTCTGCTTGTCTTAACCGTTTACAGAACCAGCCACGAGCAATAACAAGAGCCATGGTGACCAAGAAGATCCGGACGGAGTACATGAAGAAGTTCAGAGATCCCCGATGGGACACGTTCTCTAAATGCTACGAGGACTCCCTGAAGTACCGTCTAACCCGACGAGTGATTGAGCATTCCCACAAGCCCTGGTTCTGGGAGGGTTGGGACAGCGGCTCCGAATCCAGTGGACTGTCCACTCCAAGGCTGACCAGGAACAAAGTGGCCCCCCTGTCCCTTCCACCACCGACGTCGTCGGAGGGGAAGCTGAGGCAGGCCAGCCCTGCACCAAAAAAGCCCAGTGAGAGCGTGGATGCTGAGGAGGGGGTGAAGGAGGAGGCAGAGATAGACGCTGCATCACCTACAGGTGAGGAAACTGAAATCTAATCTGACAACTCTTATTGATAAAACTAAACGTTTATTTACTCATTTGACACCAGCTAGAAAAACTGATGAATCAAAAACAAAAAAATCTCATGAAACAAAAATCTCAGTCACGTCTGATCCAAACTTCTGCAATGCAAAGAGTTTCAGCTTTCTCTGTTGGAACCTGACCTGGACTTTGTGTCCAAAAAGAAAGACACACTCTTTTTCTGCCAGAATCTCTGATCACTGTAAATATTTTACGAAAATGTGAAAAGTTGAAAACGTATAAGGTTGTGTAGTTTAATAAGTAAATAAGTAAATATCACAATGAAGGATCAAAATCATGTTTGTGTGTGTGTGTGTGTACTTCCATCAGTCTGAAGTCAGCAGCATTAAGACTCTTCTCAACAACATGTATCTGCCTTGATTCAATTCACCAAGAATCAATCTTTTGAATGTTTTGAATCATAGTTTGAAAAATAAAACACTGAAAATCCCCTCAAAGGATCTCCAGAATAAAAACTTAACCTGTTTAAAACAGTCTAAAACTCCAAAAGATCGAGGTCAACCCAAGAGCCAGAAAGCAGGGGGTGATGACGTATAAACCACGTAACCGGAGCACGACCGGTTTGGTCTTCCTTCACGTAATGAAGCTGCGTCATTCTCCTTTCTGTTTGTATTTCTTTTCCACTCTTTTGTTTATACTGTGTCCAATTTAATCTAGAAAACATAACTGTATGTTTCTATCTCTCGCCGGAGTTTTTGTGTTTGAGAGTGAAAACACACTTTTTAGGCTGTCTCTCTGTGGGGTTGTCCGGTTTGCACTTGTCCTTCTGTTCCCTTCTGCTTTAGAAATATTTATTCTAATCAAAGGGAGATGTAGGTCTGGCAGCATGAAGGCCAGAGGCTGGAGCTAAAAATATATGTGGACTGAA